CTTGCCTACGCCTAGCAAACAGTTTTTTAAATTATATGAGAAAAAAATATTCAATTTTATTTGGAACGGCAAGCCAGACAAAATTAAAAGAGCATATTTATATAATGAATATGAATTCGGAGGACAGAAATTATTAAATATTAAAGCATTAGACCTATCACTAAAATCTTCAGTCATCCAAAAGTTATACTTAAATCCGAACTGGTTCTCAAGCAAATTAGTAAGATTGTCTCACCCACTGTTCAAGAAAGGCCTTTTTTTTCTTTATTCAGATTACAACCTCTCACTTTCAGTTATTTGAAAAGGAAATAATCTCCCAAATGTCACTATTTCTAAAACAAGCCATAGAAAGTTGGTTGCAATTTCAATTTAATCCTCCAGAAACGACAGAACAAATAATGCAACAAATATTGTGGTTAAATTCAAATATACTAATTGACAAAAAACCTTTATTTTTTGACAGAATGTTTAAAAAAGGTATAATCTTCGTAAATGATATCATCGGTAGGACTGGTGGAGTTATGTCGCACATGCAGCTAACAAAAACATATGGAAATGTCTGCTCTACCCAAAATTACAACCAAATAATTGCAGCCTTACCGCAAAAGTGGAAGAGGAAAGTTGAAGGGGGAGAAAGTAAGGAACTTGTCTGTCGGCCTTGCATTAAAGAACATAATTGGTTAAGGAAAACTGTGATAAATAAAAAAGTATATCAGTTTCACTTAAGGACCAAAGGATTGACAGCCGTCCCATATAGATTGCAAAATAGTTGGGAAGAGATCTTTGACGTACCGATCCCATGGCATAGTGTTTATGAACTGACACGCAAAACGACACCAGATTCAAAAATTAGAATCTTTCAATTTAAATTATTATATAAAATTCTTGCTACCAATAGAATGTTATTTATATGGGGGATACAATCTTCCCAGCTCTGCAGATTTTGCTGTGAAGAGATAGAATCATTAGATCATTTGTTTTGGTTCTGTCCATTTGTAGCTTGTTTTTGGACACAGGTCCAGGAATGGCTAAAGGATTGCAATATTTACCTGGAACTAACCTTGCAGATAGCATTACTGGGTGATCTGAAAAGTCATAGTCAATCAATCAATAATATAATAATACTTTTAGCAAAAATGTTTATTTTTAATTCACAATCTGTAGAAGCAATGAGAATAGAAAGGTTCAGAACTTTTGTAAAACATCACAGTACGGTTGAAATATATATGGCAAATAGAAATCCTATATGGATGGTGTTAAGAGATAGATGGGAGGTATTGAATAGAGTTGAAGGATGGGACTAATAACAAATAACAACAAATAATAACAAAGATAGCTAATAATGTAAGCATACTGTGTCCATAATAAGTATATAGGTTGTATGTTGGGAGCTTTTGGGAAAGAGCACAGTTAGAAAGATATGGCATTTAGAAGCAAACCGGATGGACATCATGAAAATGATCGGAGAGGTTGAGAGTAGAAGAAGTTCAGGAGCAAAAAAATAAATAAATATATATATATATATATATAGATATAGAATTATTGTAAAAAAAAAAAAAAAAAAAAAAAAAAAAAAAACATCAGACGGGCCTGGACATGTACTGGCTTAAGCAGGGGGACACGTCTGGCACTGCAGGATTTGAGTCCCTGTTGGCGTAGTGTGTTACTGATGGTAGGCTTTGTTACTTTGGTCCCAGCTCTCTGCAGGTCATTCACTAGGTTCCCCCGTGTGGTTCTGGGATTTTTGCTCACCGTTCTTGTGATCATTTTTGACCCCACGGGGTGAGATCTTGCGTGGAGCCCCAGATCGAGGGAGATTATCAGTGGTCTTGTATGTCTTCCATTTCCTAATAATTGCTCCCACAGTTGATTTCTTCAAACCAAGCTGCTTACCTATTGCAGATTCAGTCTTCCCAGCCTGGTGCAGGTCTACAATTTTGTTTCTGGTGTCCTTTGACAGCTCTTTGGTCTTGGCCATAGTGGAGTTTGGAGTGTGACTGTTTGAGGTTGTGGACAGGTGTCTTTTATACTCATAACAAGTTCAAACAGGTGCCATTAATACAGGTAACGAGTGGAGGACAGAGGAGCCTCTTAAAGAAGAAGTTACAGGTCTGTGAGAACCAGAAATCTTGCTTGTTTGTAGGTGACCAAATACTTATTTTCCACCATAATTTGCTAATAAATTCATAAAAAATCCTACAATGTGATTTTCTGAAATTTTTTTCCTCAATTTGTCTGTCATAGTTGACGTGTACCTATGATGAAAATTACAGGCCTCTCTCATCTTTTTAAGTGGGAGAACTTGCACAATTGGTGGCTGACTAAATACCTTTTTCCCCCACTGTATATATTTCAACCGTACTGTGATGTTTTACAAAAGTCTGAACCTTTCTATTCTCATTGCTTCTACAGATTGTGAATTAAAAATAAACATTTTTGCTAAAAGTATTATTATATTATTGATTGATTGACTATGACTTTTTAGATCACCCAGTAATGCTATCTGCAAGGTTAGCTCCAGGTAAATATTGCAAATTTAGCCATTCCTGGACCTGTGTCCAAAAACAAGCTACAAATGGACAGAACCAAAATAAATGATCTAATGATTCTGTCTTTTCACAGCACATCTGCAGAGCTGGGAAGATTGTATCCCCCATATAAATAACATTCTATTGGTAGCAAGAATTTTATATAATAATTTAAATTGAAAGATTCTAATTTTTGAATCCGGTGTCGTTTTGCGTGTCAGTTCATAAACACTATGCCATGGGATCGGTACGTCAAAAATCTCTTCCCAACTATTTTGCAATCTATATGGGACGGCTGTCAATCCTTTGGTCCTTAAGTGAAACTGATATACTTTTTTATTTATCACAGTTTTCCTTAACCAATTATGTTCTTTAATGCAAGGCCGACAGACAAGTTCCTTACTTTCTCCCCCTTCCACTTTCCTCTTCCACTTTTGCGGTAAGGCTGCAATTATTTGGTTGTAATTTTGGGTAGAGCAGACATTTCCATATGTTTTTGTTAGCTGCATGTCATAACTCCACCAGTCCTACCGATGATATCATTTACGAAGATTATACCTTTTTTAAACATTCTGTCAATAAAGAAAGATGTTTTTGTCAATTAGTATATTTGAATTTAACCACAATATTTGTTGCATTATTTATTCTGTCGTTTCTGGAAGATTAAATTGAAATTGCAACCAACTTTCTATGGCTTGTTTTAGAAATAGTGATATTTGGGAGATGATTTTCTTTTCAAATAACTGCAAATGAGTTGTTGTAATCTGAATAAAGGGAAAAATGCCTTTCTTGAACATTGGGTGAGACAATCTAACTAATTTGCTTGAGAACCAGTTCGGTTTTAAGTATAACTTTTTTATGACTGAAGCTTTTAGTGATAGGTCTAATGCTTTAATATTTAATAATTTCTGTCAGATGCCGTTGTTAACTGTTACTGATCTAGATGGAGATGAACAAGTGGGACTGGATGGAGTATTGATGGATAGATATCCATTTTGAATATCCAATCGTTTTTCACATGTTTTTACATATTATTGTGATATTTAGTATTTTGTTATGAATCAAAGGGGGGAAATGGAATGTGATTAATTTTATATATCATTTTATATTATTGTTGATATTGATGTTTTAATTTGCATGTGTTGTTTTGCAAAATATACTGTTTGGTCATTTCTTTTCTTCCAGAAGCATATGGGGGAATGTGTAGAGGGGATTCAAATACTCAAACATGGACAATATGAATGGACTGGAGGAAGTGGAACAAGGAAAGTGTGGAAATGTTCAGATACCATCATCGACGTTGCATTGGAAGTCGAAACTTCTGAGGAGATGCAGTGTAGTGGACTACATTCCAGTGTCTGCAATGATATATAGACATATTTGCATGTGTAATACATAATTTGTGTCATATTCTTTCTGTATTAATTTTTGAAGAATGATGGTTTCTTTGTTGGGTACATGTGGGGACCTCAGATGTTTTTGTTTATTTCGTGGATGCTTAGGGATATTGGGTCTAGGCAGGGACAGAGAGAATCCACAGGAGGGTCCGATGGGTCGACAAGCCTGAATGTGGACATTTTTGATTGTATTTAGTTTTCTGAGGCTTTCATGTGTATTCAATTGCATCATAGTTTAAAATGCATTGATAAAGATTTATGAATTGATCTGGAGTACTTAAGTGGTTGCCTGGGGCAGAGGGGCCGTGAGAGAATTTTACTGTCTTGATTGATTGATGGATATTTGGAAAGAAAGCTGCCTGACAGGTTTTTCGCTCTCACACTCCATAAAGATTTGTTGATATTTCATAGAAATGTATTTACACTCCATAAAGATTTGTTCATATTTCATAGAAATGTATTTACACTCCATAGAAAAATGTGTTTACTCTCCATACATTTTGGTTTATTGCTAAAGTTACTCAATAAGAAAAAAAAATATTTGTCATAATCCTATTCTTTTTGTTTTCAAGACTTAATTAGTCTCAAAGGGGGGGAAATATGTAGTATCTAGACAATTTATGACTTTGCTGACGTTTGCAAATGGTGTGTTAGAGGAAGTTGACACAGCTTGCGGAAGCATCTGGAAAGCATTACTATAGGGGCACCCTAAAACAGAGGAAGTCTGTAATGTGGCGTCCAGGGATTGGCCTGTAGGGGAAAACCACCCATATCAGGTTACATAGGATATATAAACTATGGTTGGGACAAAGGACGGTAGGGACAACATATTAGAGATTGGGCTAGTTGTTCTCCGGATTTTCTGCAGAAATCTTTTTATATATAAATTTATTAGCAGTTTACAAATTATTTTTGCATTAAATATTCCACTGTGGCCAAACAAAATACATCAGATGCATGTGCATCTCTAACTAACTGACAGGAGACAGGTCTGTATTCTACTGAGTGCTGAGTCAGAGAGTTATGTGTCACTGTGGACATCACAGCACAGTAGTACAGAGCAGAGTCTCTCACTTCAGAGATCTCCAGATCCAAACGAGTCTTCTCTGTTCAGTTTAACTGTGAGGTGAGGGTATGGAGGTTTAGCTCTCACTACAGTCCTAGAGGCATGGTGGATGAAGAGGAGGAATTGGGGAGCTGATCCTGGATACTGTTTACACCACAGTACACTGTATGCTGAGGAGTAGTTGCAGGAAAGCTAAACATTACTACCCTCCTCTCCATACACTTCATGTTGGTTTGGCTGGATGATCTGTTGAAAACTGTCACCTGCAAATGTGAAGAGGTGATGGATAGATTACAAGGACGATGTATTAGAAATGAGGGAAGATCTTGGTATTTACTCTCAAATCCAATAATTCTGATAAACTAAAAACATAGCCTAAAACATGTAGTTAAAAGAATGACAGGAATACAGTAATTGTGTAGCTGGAGATTATTATTATTATTATTTTTACATACATTAGTAATCCACACCCCTGCCATAAAATATGAATAAGAGGAGTTTATCATGAGCTGTCGGGTTTTTGTACAGTGTTTCTGGGTTTCCTGTCACTGTGGGCTGCAAGGCGCAGTAGTACAGAGCACAGTCTGTTACATCAGAAGAGGAGATCTCCAGATCCATGCGGGTTATCTCCATATTCAGTTTGGAAGACAGTCGTGGGTATGGAGGAGTAGCGTTCACTACAGAGGGGCTTGATGAGACTGTAGTGAGAAGTAGGAATTTGGGAGCTGATCTGGGATACTGTCGATACCATTGGAGGTTGTATGGTGAACCAGAATAGTTGCAAGACAGTGTAACAAAGCCTCCTTCATCACCATGCATTATCTTTGTGGTTGGTTGAACTTCATCCTGGTAACTGCCACCTGAAAAATATATTGAATCTGAGCACTGGATTCTGTTAATGTTTAAGGTATTTGAACAAATCTATCTCCACAATCATTATTTACTAACATTGTCAATGGATTTTGACGTTTCGAACTGCAGCTCACTATCAGTGTTACTCTTTCATTTTGAACCTTGTTTAAACAGTGGCCATAATGAACATTCAGAAAACTCACCAACAATTGCAGAAATGAATAAAAGTGGATAGAGGAACATGATGGTTGAAGTTCAGCAGCGCTATCAGTAACACTAAGGTACCACTCCCCTGTGGCAGACTAAAATTCCATCCTCCTGTGGTTTGCTTAGCTTAGCTCCTCCTCTTGAATAGATAGCAGTGTTTTTACAGTGTTGGCAGGTTTCCTGTCACTGTGGGCTCCAGAGCACAGTAGTACAGAGCAGAGTCTGTCACTTCAGCAGATCCACAAAGGTCTTATCTTTGTTCAGTTTACCAGAGAAATGAGAGTCAAGAGAATCAGCTCTATATCCAGTCCCAGTGGAGTGCAGGATGAGCAGAAGATATTGGGGAGCTGATCCTGGATACTGTTTATACCATAGTAGACTGTACGCTGAGGAGTAGTTGCAGGAAAGCTGAACATAACTACCCTCCTCTCCATACACTTCATGTTGGTTTGGCTCGATAGTCTGCTCGTAACTGCCTCCTGCAAATGGGAAGAGATTAACGTTGAGTAATTTATTTATTGAAATAAAAATTTATTTTTATTTCCAAAACAGAAAACATGACACTACTTGAAAGCCAAAACTGACCTATTACTGATAACATAATAATTGACGAGATTAACAACATGGCTGGCGTTAGAAGTCAAACTGACTAATATCTCAACAGAACCTGATTATTCCAAACCAACTTCATCTGCAAGATGTTCTGTTGATAATTTCTGCTTAGTTTACCTACAAGCTCCACCCCAAAGTACAGTTGCTCTAAAGATGCTCAATCTCTCCTCTCCTCTCCTCTCCTCTCCTCTCCTCTCCTCTCCTCTCCTCTCCTCTCCTCTCCTCTCCTCTCCTCTCCTCTCCTCTCCTCTCCTCTCCTCTCCTCTCCTCTCCTCTCCTCTCCTCTCCTCTCCTCTCCTCTCCTCTCCTCTCCTCTCCTCTCCTCTCCTCTCCTCTCATTCCCTTCCTGTCACTGTTGGCCTCAGAGCACAGTAGTACAGATCAGAGTCTGTTACTTCAGTAGAGGAGATCTCCAGATCCACACGGGTTCTCTCCTTGTTCAGTGTAACAGACAGTCGAAAGTCTTGTGGATCACCTCTCACTTCATATGGCTTATTGGTAGTTGTTACGAGGTAAAGGAATTGGAGACCTGATCCAGAATACTGTCTGTACCACAGCAGACTATCTGCTATTACTGTATAGTTACAGGAGAGCTTAACTCTGCTACCTTCTAAATAATTCTCCTCAGGGCTGGTTGGAGTAATATCATCCTCTAAAGTATCACCTGCGGCAGAGAAGAAAATATGCATGAGACTAAATATGAAAACCTCTTATTTTATATTTGAAGCAGCCCAATATTTACCAATGAATGAAAACCAGACAGTGTGGAAATGACTTTACATAAAACCTTAATTACCAACAAGTTCTGAAAACAGTAATATTGAAGTGAGGAACATCATGGTGTATGTGACAGAATGCAGCTAGGAAAGAGGGCTTACTAAACTGATATGTGATATGCAGTTTACTGTGATCTGCAGGGTGTGATATGTGATATGTACTGTATGGCTGCTGTTTGTCAGCCCTGCAACTACCTCCACTTTCAGGAGGAGGAGCCACCTGCTCAGAGAAATAGAGGTTTGTGTAGTGTTGAGGTGAGGCCCTCTACAGAAGATTGGGAGTTATACTGTGTACAGTGGGGGAAAAAAGTATTTAGTCAGCCACCAATTGTGCAAGTTCTCCCACTTAAAAAGATGAGAGAGGCCTGTCATTTTCATCATAGGTACACGTCAACTATGACAGACAAATTGAGAAAAAAAAATCCAGAAAATCACATTGTAGGATTTTTAATGAATTTATTTGCAAATTATGGTGGAAAATAAGTATTTGGTCACCTACAAACAAGCAAGATTTCTGGCTCTCACAGACCTGTAACTTCTTCTTTAAGAGGCTCCTCTGTCCTCCACTCGTTACCTGTATTAATGGCACCTGTTTGAACTTGTTATGAGTATAAAAGACACCTGTCCACAACCTCAAACAGTCACACTCCAAACTCCACTATGGCCAAGACCAAAGAGCTGTCAAAGGACACCAGAAACAAAATTGTAGACCTGCACCAGGCTGGGAAGACTGAATCTGCAATAGGTAAGCAGCTTGGTTCGAAGAAATCAACTGTGGGAGCAATTATTAGGAAATGGAAGACATACAAGACCACTGATAATCTCCCTTGATCTGGGGCTCCACGCAAGATCTCACCCCGTGGGGTCAAAATGATCACAAGAACGGTGAACAAAAATCCCAGAACCACACGGGGGGACCTAGTGAATTACCTGCAGAGAGCTGGGACCAAAGTAACAAAGCCTACCATCAGTAACACACTACGCCGCCAGGGACTCAAATCCTGCAGTGCCAGACATGTCCCCCTGCTTAAGCCAGTACATGTCCAGGCCTGTCTGAAGTTTGCTAGAGTGCATTTGGATGATCCAGAAGAGGATTGGGAGAATGTCATATGGTCAGATTAAACCAAAATAGAACTTTTTGGTAAAAACTCAACTCGTCGTGTTTGGAGGACAAAGAATGCTGAGTTGCATCCAAAGAACACCATACCTACTGTGAAGCATGGGGGTGGAAACATCATGCTTTGGGGCTGTTTTTCTGCAAAGGGACCAGGACGACTGATCCGGGTAAAGGAAAGAATGAATGGGGCCATGTATCGTGAGATTTTGAGTGAAAACCTCCTTCCATCAGCAAGGGCATTGAAGATGAAACGTGGCTGGGTCTTTCAGCATGACAATGATCCCAAACACACCGCCCGGGCAATGAAGGAGTGGCTTCGTAAGAAGCATTTCAAGGTCCTGGAGTGGCCTAGCCAGTCTCCAGATCTCAACCCCATAGAAAATCTTTGGAGGGAGTTTAAAGTCTGTGTTGCCCCGCGACAGCCACAAAACATCACTGCTCTAGAGGAGATCTGCATGGAGGAATGGGCCAAAATACCAGCAACAGTGTGTGAAAACCTCGTGAAGACTTACAGAAAACATTTGACCTGTGTCATTGCCAACAAAGGGTAAATAACAAAGTATTGAGAAACTTTTGTTATTGACCAAATACTTATTTTCCACCATAATTTGCAAATAAATTCATAAAAAATCCTACAATGTGATTTTCTGGATATTTTTTCCTCATTTTGTCTGTCATAGTTGACGTGTACCTATGATGAAAATTACAGGCCTCTCTCATCTTTTTAAGTGGGAGAACTTGCACAATTGGTGGCTGACTAAATACTTTTTTCCCCCACTGTATCTTGTTGATTAAACATTTCAGTCATTTAACAGATGCTCTTATCCAGAGCGACTTACAGTTAGTGCATACATTTTTATTATATATTTTTTTCATACTGGCCCCCCCATGGGAATCGAACCCACAACCCTGGCGTTGCAAATGCCATGCTCTACCAACTGAGCTACATCCCTGCCGGCCATTCCCTCCCTTACCCTGGACGAATTGTGCGCCGCCCCATGGGTCTCCCGGTCGCGGCCGGCTACAACAGATCCTGGATTTGAACCAGGGGACACGAGTGGAGTCAAATGGTATTGGTTGGAGTGAAGAAGGACTGAAAATGTGGACTTCTTTAAGTGTTCAGGTGTTGTAATCCTGAATTGGAACTGACAGATAATAATTATATCTGAAACAGTTCACAACAAGGATTGTTATCCCCTGATTCTGTACAGTTGTTATACAGTGTGTTTGGGTTTCCTGTCACTGTGTGCCTCAGAGCACAGTAGTACAGATCAGCGTCTGTCACTTCAGCAGAGGAGATCTTCAGATCCACACGTTCAGCCACTTTGTCAACGTTAACTGACAGTCAAAGATACGGTGGGTCTGCAGTAACTATTGTCTCAGCAGATGCAGAATACACTGAGATGAGGAGGAGGAATTGGGGAGCAGATGTGGGATATTGGTGATACTATAAGACACTGCGTCCACCAGATACTATGTAGTTTCAGGAAAGCTTGACACTGCCACCATGTATCACATCCTCCTCAAGACTGTTGGAGAAAAAACAGGAAGAAAAATGCATTTTCAAATGATTTGGTTTCCATATTCATATATTCTCTAATTTGTATATCATACAAGTTTCCCCCGTTATCCTAAATGTGTTTTTGCTTTACTCTAACAGTTGTTACCACAATAATCTAATCTACAGACCTCTGAGCCTGATAATGATCTGTGGTCAAGAAATAACTAACAAGCTCATCTAAAACAAATGATTTATCAGTGTACTACTTTTTGTACAGCCTTTCAGAGACACTGTATCACTGGCCGTCCTTCAGAGCACAGATGTAGAGAGCTGTGTCTTTGTTACTTGTTTAATCATGAGAGTAGTTGACATTTGGGATGTTGTAGATTCATAGAGATGATTAGAGATATGGTCAACACTAGTTTCTCTGGCACCTTTATACAGTAGGTACTGCTCCTTGTTTCATACATACAGAGACACTGATGATCCCTCAGTGGGGGTGTACTCATCCTTGTTAAGAGTCACACTATCTCCAGATACATTTCCTGCAGAGGAAAAATAGATAATAAAAGCTGATTGAAAACACATGCTTATTTTTCACATTTAAATGACTTTACTTCATCAAAATATGTTTTACTACCAATACCATCATTGAATAATCTGATTATAAGGATGGAAGGAGTTCAAATGCTTAGGTATTGTTTACCTGTAGTCATAATCAGAATGATCAATAAACTGATTGATTTCTCCATCTTCAGACTGATGTTTGCATGCATTCACTCAGCTACAGGCCCTGTGTAGCTCAGTTGGTAGAGCATGGTGTTTGCAACGCCAGGGTTGTGGGTTTGATTCCCATGGGGGTTCCAGTATGAAAAATGTATGTACTCACTAACTGTAAGTCGCTCTGGATAAGAGCATCTGCTAAATGACAAAAATGTAAAATTCATTCTCCTCTGGAATGTTATTTTGTGTGTCACTGTGTGAGGTCTACAGCCCTGCTAACATCACACCCACCACAGAAGTAAGGCTTGCATTTTTTTATACACTAGTGCCAAGGCTACACTAGTTTTTGTAGGGTGTCTGTATATCCTGTTGTCACAGTGGGCCTCAAAGCACAGTAGTACACAGCAGAGTCAGACAGCTGCAACCTCTGGATCGTCAAGGGGACTGATTTTGATGCTGATAAAAATTCAGTTAAATTGAGATGGGCATTGAATCTCCCCTGGAATTCAATGGCATTATCTGGATAAAAAGTTGTCCTCCTCAGCATATACTTTGGGAAGTTATTAGCTCCCTGCTTGTACCAGAACAGGTATGGATTTGTATCTAGACTATCAAATTGACAGTCCAGTGTGACCTGTTCTCCCTCAGTAGCGATCACATCTTCTGGTGACTGAGTGACTGAGTCTTCTCCTCTGCATTCTGCAAAGTAATTTAATAAACATAATCATGCAACATGATTGAGGGAATAAAAACATAGGAATTTAATACTGGTTGAATTGTACTGAGAAATATGTTTTATAAAAGAAAGGAATGGGAGCAAAGGCAGAAAATGAATTAGGAAAATAATATTATCATACCATAAGAAAATACAGCAAGAACCAGTAAATTCCTCAGCCAGGGTTCCATGACTGCTACTGTGAGATCAGTGGGAGAAGAGTAATACCACTCTGATGTAACTAGACCATGATGAGACTATGAACTCCTTGTCTCCTCCTCTTTCTGTGTATCATCAAACATTGAGAAGCTTGTGACATTGTCTGAACAACACAGTGACCGAATCTCCTGTTGTCACAGTGGACCTCAGAGCACAGTAGTACACAGCAGAGTCAGACGGCTGCAACATCTGGATCATCAAGGGGACAAAGCTAGATGTGAAATATATATATAATTAATAGGCTAAGATTCAGACAAAGAGAATAGGAAGGAAAAGCACTATACTGTACCAAAATAGCATGCGGCCAGGATAAGTAAAGCATTCCTAAGCCAATGTGCCATTATGATACATGTATAGATGAACATTAGACTGTTATAGACTTTATGTTCCATCCACTGTAGCTGAGAAGTCTCATAATTATGGGGCTCTGCAGTAGGGGAGGAGCTAATTGTATATTCAATTTAGATGAACTGCTAGAAGGATTCGCAGTGAAATGCTGCCCTTCTCAGGTTGATTTAGTTTGATATGCTAATTGTGGGGGATAATTATACCACAACAACACCTGTAAAGTGTTTGCATGCCGCATTGTCACGCCCTGACCTATAGAACTCTTGTTTGTTGAGTCAGGGTGTGGAAATCTATGTTATATATTCTATGTTTAGGTTCTAGTTATTCTATTTCTATGTCTGGCCGGGTATGATTCCCAATCAGAGGCAGCTGTCGCTCATTGTCTCTGATTGGGGATGATACTTAGGTAGCCCATTGCCTACTGTGTATTGTGGGATCTTGTTCCTGTTAGGCTTGTATGTGTTTAGCCCTTTGGACTTCACGTTACGTTGTTTCTTGTTTTGTTGTATGTTTATTGAGGTAATAAACATGTACGCTTTTCACGCTGCACCTTGGTCCGACCCGTCTCTCAACGATCGTGACAGAAGATCCCACCAAACGAGGACCAAGCAGCGTGGCCAGGAGCAGACATCCTGGACATGGGAGGAGATCCTGGATGGTAAGGGATCTTGGACATGGGAGGAGATTCAGGCTGGGATGGATCACCGTCCTTGGGAGCGGACAGAGGAAGCCCGGGTAGGAGAGGAGCAACAGCGACACCGCCGGCCGAGGAGGAAGCCCGAGAGGCTTTTTTTTGGTGGGGGGGGGGCTAAAGGGGTGGTCGGGAATCGAGAGAGAAGAGCCCCGACCACTGCACCCGGTGGGGTTCCAGTTGGAGTCCCTACGACGATGGGAACAGGAATGGGAACAGTTTTACACTGAGGAGTCGGAGGATGACGACGACGAGTTCTGTTCCCTAACTCGTGGGGTCTCCCGGAGGAGTCCTCACCGGAGGAGGATTGGGCGCGGAGAGTAAAGGACTGGTACAGTCATAGACCTCCAGCACCGGTTCCCAGTCCGGTACGCCTCGTGCCTGCTTCTCGCACCAAGCCAGTGGTGCGTGCTCCCAGTCCGGTAAGGTCCGTGCCTGCTCCTCGCACCAAGCCATTGGTGCGTGTTCCCAGTCTGGTACGGCCCATACCTGCTCCTCGCACCAAACCAGTGGTGCGTGTCCCCAGCCTGGTACGGCCCGTGCCTGCTCCTCGCACCAAACCAGTGGTGCGTGTCACCAGCCCAGAACGGCCCGTACTTGCTCCTCGCACCAAACTAGTGGTGCGTGTCGCCAGCCCGGTACGCCCTGTACCTGCTCCACTCACCAAACTAGTGGTGCGTGTATCCAGTCCGGCACGGCCCATGCCTGCTCCTCGCACAAAACCAGTGGTGCACGTCTCCAGTCCGGCACGGCCTGTGCCTGCTCCTGGCACCAGACCAGTGGTGCGTGTTCCCAGTCCAGCTCCGGTCAGCTGCTCCACTCCAGTGCCAGAGCAGTCCGCTCCTCCGGTGCCTAGTCCAGCTCCGGTCAGCTGCTCCACTCCAGTGCCAGAGCAGTCCGCTCCACCAGTGCCCAGTCCAGCTCCGGTCTGCTGCTCCACTCCAGTGCCAGAGCAGTCCGCTCCACCGGTGCCCAGTTCAGCTCTGGTGAGCTGCTCCAGTCCAGAGCCAGAGCAGTCCGCTCTACCGGTGCCTAGTCCAGCTCCGGTCAACTGCTCCACGCCAGAGCAATCCGCTCCACCGGTGCCTGATCCAGCTCCGGTCAGCTGCTCTACTCCGGAGCCAGAGCAGTCCGCTCCACTGGTGCCAAGACCAGCTCCGGTCAGCGGCTCTAATCCGGAGTCAGAGCAGTCCGCTCCACCGGTGTCCAGTCCAGCTCCGGTCAGCGGCTCCACTCCGGAGCCAGAGCAATCCGCTCCACCGGTGCCTGATTCAGCTCCGGTCGGTTGCTCCACTCCGGAGCCAGAGCAGTCCGCTCCACCGGTGCCTGATCCAGCTCCGGTCAGCTGCTCCATTCCGGAGCCAGATCAGTCCGCTCCACCGGGATCCAGTTCAGCGCCAGTCAGCGGCTCTACTCCGGGTCCAGACGTCAGCCCCTCTCCAGGTTCGGGGTCTCCCACACCAGGGTCCAGACAGGGATCGGTCCGTCGTGGGAGGACTGAGAAGGGAAGCTAGGGAAGGGAAGCTAGAAGGCAGTAAGGGAGAAGACGTCACGCCCGGAGCCAGAGCCGCCACCGAAGCGGGAAGCCCACCCGGACCCTCCCCTGTTATGTCAGGTTTGTGCGGCCGGAGTCAGCACCTTTGGGGGGGGGGGGGGGGGGGTACTGTCACGCCCTGACCTATAGAACTCTTGTTTGTTGAGTCAGGGTGTGGAAGTCTATGTTATATATTCTATGTTTAGGTTCTAGTTATTCTATTTATATTTCTATGTCTAGCCGGGTATGATTCCCAATCAGAGGCAGCTGTCGCTCATTGTCTCTGATTGGGGTTCATACTTAGGTAGCCCATTGCCTACTGTGTATTGTGGGATCTTGTTCCTGTTAGGCTTGTATGTGTTTAGCCCTTTGGACTTCACGTTACGTTGTTTCTTGTTTTGTTGTATGTTTATTGAGGTAATAAACATGTACGCTTTTCACGCTGCACCTTGGTCCGACCCGTCTCTCAACGATCGTGACACGCATGCATCATTTAATTCTCTAGAGTCTAAGAGGTTGCGGGCGGGTGTTATAAATTGACATATATAATTATTTTAAGATGGTCATACCATGGATTAGTTAGCTATTTGATTTGGAATTTTAGGACCCTTTAGATATTAAAAAATATATAACAAGATTATTTGATAAAATATTGCATTTGGCCTTTACTACCATATCCCATAGAAACGCATTGAATAACACATTCATAAATGGCAAAAAATGACATTCAAATAATAAATAATACGGAATAAGGTTTTAAGGTTTTAAGTGTCTGTCCTATAAATAGGAGATATAAGAAAGCTCAGGAAATATATATATATACATTGTATATATATTTAACCCCTTAAATTCTCCAATGTGTTCGTGAGAATCTCCCTTTTTCACAGTGGGGTCATTAGTTTGTAGCCCAAACGGTTCGTACGCTAGATACGTATTCGTGAGAGTCTCATCTTTCAATAGAGTGGACATATTATTTTTCTATGCCAAACCGTTCGGACGCTACAGATGTTTTTGTGAGAAGACCGATTCTCGGGATGTCACATGGTTTCCACCGCAGATGCGAAAGACTGCCATAGGCTGATGCGATGGATTGAGATGCAGCCCATGCAAAAAAAAATGATATTTCTATCTTATAGGAATAAGACTCCACTGACACCTATTGACTCTCACTAGTAACTTGCCCTTGAAAATACAATCAATGTCAAGGTTTCACCTTTTTGGGCAGAATGTTGAACACTAGATGGAACTATTGTATCATTATTATACATTTTTAAAAAAACTTGGCACTGGACTTCATAACTGTGGAGGGCAGTCTATAGGAGGAGCACAGACAAATAAGATATGTCATATAACTGATCAGGAGGCAGAGAGAACATCTCAGTGGTTGTGGCTGAAGAGTAAGAAGAGTTGGACGAGCCACGTGGCTCACTTGGGCCTGATCAACCCATCCTTCAGAAGGTGTAGTGGGCAGCACATGTAGGATAAGAAGGTACCTCACCTGAAGAACAGCCAGGAGCTGCAGAAATGGCTGTTTGTGGGTAAATATAAAGAAAACCCTTTATACACTGCTAAAAAAAATAAAGGGAACACTTAAACAACACATCCTAGATCTGAATGAATGAAATAATCTTATTAAATACTTTTTTCTTTACATAGTAGAATGTGTCAACAAAATCACACAAAAATTATCAATGGAAATCAAATTTATCAACCCATGGAGGTCTGGATTTGGAGTCACCCTCAAAATTAAAGTGGAAAACCACACTACAGGCTGATGATGTAACTTTGATGTAATGTCCTTAAAACAAGTCAAAATGAGGCTCAGTAGTGTGTGTGGCCTCCACGTGCCTGTATGACCTCCCTACAATGCCTGGGCATGCTCCTGATGAGGTAGCGGATGGTCTCCTGAGGGATCTCCTCCCAGACCTGGACTAAAGCATCCGCCAACTCCTGGACAGTCTGTGGTGCAACGTGGCGTTGGTGGATGGAGCGAGACATGATGTCCCAGATGTGCTCAATTGGATTCAGGTCTGGGGAACGGGCGGGCCAGTCCATAGCATCAATGCCTTCCTCTTGCAGGAACTGCTGACCCACTCCAGCCACATGAGGTCTAGCATTGTCTTGCATTAGGAGGAACCCAGGGCCAACCGCACCAGCATATGGTCTCACAAGGGGTCTGAGGATCTCATCTCTGTACCTAATGGCAGTCAGGCTACCTCTGGCGAGCACATGGAGGGCTGTGTGACACCCCAAAGAAATGCCACCCCACACCATGACTGACCCACCGCCAAAGCGGTCATGCTGGAGAATGTTGCAGGCAGCAGAACGTTCTCCACGGCGTCTCCAGACTCTGTCATGTCTGTCACATGTGCTCAGTGTGAACCTGCTTTCATCTGTGAAGAGCACAGGGCGCCAGTGGCGAATTTGCCAATCTTGGTGTTCTCTGGCAAATGCCAAACGTCCTGCACGGTGTTGGGCTGTAAGCACAACCCCCACCTGTGGACGTCGGGCCATCATACCACCCTCATGGAGTCTGTTTCTGACCGTTTGAGCAGACACATGCACATTTGTGGCCTGCTGGAGGTCATTTTGCAGGGCTCTGGCAGTGCTCCTCCTGCTCCTCCTTGCACAAAGGCGGAGGTAGCGTTCCTGCTGCTGGGTTGTTGCCCTCCTACGGCCTCCTCCACATCTCCTGATGTACTGGCCTGTCTCCTGGTAGCGCCTCCATGCTCTGGACACTACGCTGACAGACACAGCAAACCTTCTTGCCACAGCTCGCATTGATGTGCCATCCTGGATGAGCTGCACTACCTGAGCCACTTTTGTGGGTTGTAGACTCCGTCTCATGCTACCACTAGAGTGAAAGCACCGCCAGCATTCAAAAGTGACCAAAACATCAGCCAGGAAGCATAGGAACTGAGAAGTAGTCTGTGGTCACCACCTGCAGAACCACTTCTTTATTGGGGGTGTCTTGCTAATTGCCTATAATTTCCAACTGTTGTCTATTCCATTTGCACAACAGCATGTGAAATGTATTGTCAATCAGTGTTGCTTCCTAAGTGGACAGTTTGATTTCACAGAAGTGTGATTGACTTGGAGTTACATTGTGTTGTTTAAGTGTTCCCTTTATTTTTTTGAGCAGTGTACTTTACATACACTTTGCTGACCGCATATAAATGTTGAGGAGGTTCTGAGAATAAAGACACCAAATCCTCACATGAATAATGAATGATCATACATGTGCAAAAAGTAACTACTTTTCCTATCTAGTGACCCAGACCAAAAGAGCCATTTTATATTTGTCTGGTCCGTTACCAGTCAGTTGGCTTCAGCTATGCTCCTCTAAAGAGTGCAGTACATGGATTTACCACCAGAGGACCATACCACTGAACAGGTCTATGTTGAGAGCAATGATGTGATATAAACCATGCATGTTGTATGTATGTGATGTAGTTCAGAGGCCTGACTCAGACAGGTGAAACATTCCATTCATATACTTTATTTATAGGAGACATTAACATAATTCATTAGTGTTTTGATGTCTACAAAGTCAGGGTTAGAGACAAGTTAAAAAATGAACCAGATAAATTCCTGCTGATGTGGTCCCTGCTGAGTTTTTTTTTTTACAGTGTAGGTTTCCTGTCACTGTGGGCCTCACAGCACAGTAGCACAGAGCAGACTCTGTCACTTCAGCAGAGGAGATCTCCAGATCCAAGTGTTTTTTCTCTTCATTGAGTTTCACAAATATTCAAGTTGTCAAAGGATCAGCTTTCTTTATAAACTCTGAACCTGAGATGTACAATAGGAACTTTGGCCTTTGTGCTGTGTCTTGGTGATAGCAATTCATCTCCACCAGTAGCTGTTCTGGAGTAGTTGTAAGACAGGGTAACAGGGGTTCTGTCACGATCGTCTACCAAAGATGAGGACCAAGGCGCAGCGTTGAAGGTGAACATATTATTTATTTAGAATGATCACACGATCAAAACAACAATGATAACGTGACGTCTACGGTATAACACAAACCAAATCAGAACAAGATCCCACAAAGAATAGCTGAAAACAGCCTACCTAAGTATGGCTCCCAATCAGAGACAACGAGCAACAGCTGCCTCTGATTGGGAACCACCCTGACCAACATAGATCTATTTGATCTAGAACAAAACCCAAAACATAGAAAACACAACATAGAAGCTACCCCGAGAAACTAAACATAGAAAATCCACACCATGGCTCAACATTTCAGAGTCCCCAGAGCCAGGGCGTGACAGTACCCCCCCCCAAAGGCGCGGACTCCGACCGCGCCAACAGAACACCACAGGGGAGGGACCGGGTGGGCACTCCGCCTTGGCGGCGGATCCGGCTCTGGGCATGATCCCCACTCCCTCTCTAACCCCCCACAGTACCCCTGGTCCGGTCTGGCCCTGCTGGCCGGAGCTGGACTGACCACTGGTGGAGCGGATTGCTCTAGCTCCGACGTGAAGCATCTGACCGGTGCCGGACCAGCCACCGGTGGAACAGGCACGGGCCGTGCCGGACTGACGACGCACACCACTGGCTTGGTGTGGGGAGCAGGAGCGGGCCGAGCCGGGCTGTCGAAGCGCACCCCTGACTTGGTGCGGGGAACAGGCACGGGCCGTGCCGGACTCACGACGCACACCACTGGCTTGGTGTGGGGAGCAGGAGCGGGCCGAGCCGGGCTGTCGAAGCGCACCCCTGACTTGGTGCGGGGAACAGGCACGGGCCGTGCCGGACTGACGACGCACACCACTGGCTTGGTGTGGGGAGCAGGAGCGGGCCGAGCCGGGCTGTCGAAGCGCACCCCTGACTTGGTGCGGGGAGCAGGAACGGGCCGAGCCGGACTGACGACGCACACCACTGGCTTGGTGTGGGGAGCAGGAGCGGGCCGAGCCGGGCTGTCGAAGCGCACCCCTGACTTGGTGCGGGGAGCAGGAACGGGCCGAGCCGGGCTGACGAAGCGCACCACTGACTTGGTGCGGGGAGCAGGAACGGGCCGCGCCGGGCTGACGAAACGCACCACTGACTTGGTGCGAGTGGCAGGAACAGGCCGGACCGTACTGGGAACACACACCACTGGCCCTACGTGGGGATCAGGAACAGGCCGGACCGGACTGGCAACACACGCCAGTACCTCTCGCCGTGCCTCTACATCCTCCTTCCCCCTGGTGACCAGTGACTCCCGTAACCTGGCGGCCTCCTGCTGTCCCGTCGTCCACGGCGTTAGCCCCCCCCTAAAAAATGTATGGGCTTCACTCCTACCCGTGGCCAAGGCCTCCATCCCTCTTGCCAGACTCGCACTCATCTCCTCCCACGTCCATCCTCTCTCCTCGTCACGCTGCTTGATCCAGTCGAGGTGGGATCTTCTGTCACGATCGTCTACCAAAGATGAGGACCAAGGCGCAGCGTTGAAGGTGAACATATTATTTATTTAGAATGATCACACGATCAAAACAACAACGATAACGTGACGTCTACGGTATAACACAAACCAAATCAGAACAAGATCCCACAAAGAATAGCTGAAAACAGCCTACCTAAGTATGGCTCCCAATCAGAGACAACGAGCAACAGCTGCCTCTAATTGGGAACCACCCTGACCAACATAGATCTATATGATCTAGAACAAAACCCAAAACATAGAAAACACAACATAGAAGCTACCCCGAGAAACTAAACATAGAAAATCCACACCCTGGCTCAACATTTCAGAGTCCCCAGAGCCAGGGCGTGACAGGTTCCCTCTAAACAGAACTCTTTCTTGAGTGGAGTGAGGTCCTCACAACTGACACCTGCATAGAGAATGGTTTTAAAACACATACATTTAATTGTTCATGAAAATTTATTTGAAATTGAATTTATTTCAAATGGACAATTATGGCAATGCATTGAATTGAATTGAATTGAATTGTACTGTATTGTATTGTGTTGTATTTCCTATACAATAAATATGGCCAGGAACAACACTGAAACAGCAACACCATCTTAGATGAACAGAGACAAACTGAAAGTAAGATCTAAGCACACTCTGAAAGTTTCCTCCTGTTTTTATGTTTCTATATTGCTGGTCAGCCCCTCCTCTACCATAAGTCCCTCCCCCTAACATACAGTAGGTATGTTACTTATGTACTGTATGTCATACAAGATGTCTGTTTCCTGTCACTGTGGTCTTCATGGCACAGTAATACAGAGCAGAGTCTGTCACTTCAGCAGAGGAGATCTCCATGTCCACATGGGTCGGTATGAACCTGAGCTGACATGCGAGAAGGGACAGTTTTCTGGACATATCCTGATTTGGTGTTGAGATTCAGTGTCAGGGTTGAGTGTAGAGGTAACGTGGAATCACACGCAGGACACACAGAGATTCGAAACAGATGTCTTTAGTGAAGTCCGAAAATACAAGCCAAACACGGCAACAGGCCACAGGCGAAACATACGCACACTGGTAAGAACCAAAGTAAATGCGCACAACGTGCAGGACTCTCTCAACAAAACGAAATACAGAGAGCACAGAACAGCGAACCAACTACTACACGTGACATCGAACAATTACACACAACACCTGACCAAACACAAGAGAACTAAATAGGACGCATAATGAACACTTAACAATGAACAGGTGTAACAAACAGACAAAACCAATCAAACATAGAAACATAGAATGGTGGCAGCTAGTACTCCGGAGACGACGACCGCCGAAGCCTGCCCGAACAAGGAGCAGCCTCGGCCGAAACCGTGACAGTACCCCCCCCTTGACGCGCGGCTCCAGCCGTGCGCCGACCCCGGCCTCGGAGACGACCAGGAGGACGCGGAGCAGGGCGCGTAGGATGACCACGATGGAACTCGGTCAGAAGAGACGGGTCTAGGATGTCCCTCCTCGGCACCCAGCACCGCTCCTCCGGGCCGTACCCCTCCCACTCCACGAGATATTGGAGACCCCCCATCCGGCGTCTCGAATCTAGGATGGACCGAACAGTGTACGCCGGAGCCCCCTCGATGTCCAACGGGGGCGGAGGAGTCTCTTCTATCTCATAGTCCTGGAGTGGACCAGCTACCACCGGCCTGAGGAGAGACACATGGAACGAGGGGTTAATATTCTTGTAATCAATGGGCAGTTGTAACCTGTAACACACCTCGTTCAATCTCCTCAGGACTTTAAAAGGCCCCACAAACCGCCGACCCAGCTTCCGGCAGGGCAGGCAGAGGGGCAGGTTTCTGGTTGAGAGCCAGACTCGATCTCCAGGTGCGTACACTGGCCCCTCACTGCGGTGGAGATCTGCGCTCGTCTTCTGTCGACGGATGGCTCGCTGCAGATGGATGTGTGCAGCGTTCCACGTCTCCTCCGAGCGCCGCACCCACTCATCCACCGCAGGGGCCTCGATCTGGCTCTCATGCCAAGGTGCCAGAACCGGCTGGTACCCTAACACACACTGGAAAGGGGTTAGTTTAGTGGAGGAGTGGCGGAGAGAGTTCTGTGCCATCTCGGCCCAGGGAACATATCTCGCCCACTCCTCCGGCCGGCCCTGGCAATATGACCTCAGAAACCTACCCACATCCTGGTTGACACGTTCGACCTGCCCATTACTCTCCGGGTGTTAACCCGAGGTAAGGCTCACCGAAACCCCCAACCGTTCCATAAACGCTCTCCAGACTCTGGAGGTAAACTGGGGGCCTCGATCAGACACTATATCCTCGGGTACCCCGTAATGCCGGAAGACGTGGGTAAATAGAGCCTCTGCGGTCTGTAGGGCAGTAGGAAGACCCAGCATGGGAAGGAGACGACAGGCCTTCGAGAACCGATCCACAACGACCAGGATGGTGGTATTCCCCTGTGAGGAGGGAAGGTCTGTAACAAAATCCACCGAGAGGTGAGACCAGGGTCGTTGTGGAACGGGCAGGGGTTGTAACTTACCCCTGGGCAAGTGTCTGGGCGCCTTACACTGGGCACACACCGAGCAGGAGGAGACATAAATCCTCACATCCCTGGCTAACGTTGGCCACCAGTACTTTGTGCTAAGGCAGTGCACTGTCCGGCCAATACCTGGATGCCCAGAGGAGGGTGACGTGTGAGCCCAATAAATGAGCCGATCCCGGACCTCGAGCGGGACGTACGTCCGACCCACCGGACACTGTGGAGGGCTAGGGTCGGTGCGTAATGCCCGCTCGATCTCCGTATCGACCTCCCATACCACCAGTGCAACCAGACAAGACTTAGGTAGTATGGGAGTGGGCTCAACGGACCTCTCCTCCGTGTCATACCGCCGAGACAGGGCATCTGCCTTCCCGTTCTGGGACCCAGGGATGTAAGTGATCTTAAACACGAACTGGGCTAGAAACATAGTCCACCGAGCCTGGCGAGGATTCAGTCTCCTCATGACCACCCTGCGTCTCCATCCTAAGTGGCACTGTGACCTCCCTAATCAACCCGGATCCTAACGGACGACTATCTAGGGCATGTACAGGGAAAGGATTATTTACCGGAAGGAGGGGAATCCCTAACTCTACACAGAATTTGCGATCTACAAAATTCCCAGCTGCGCCTGAATCTACTAGCGCCTTATGCTGGGAACGAGGTGCAACCTGTGGAAAACAAACAGGTATGGTTATGTGTACGACAGAAAGCTCTGGGTAAGTGGGGCGCCTACTCACCTGGGAGGACTCCCCAATGTGTGGCCTGCCTTCTCCTCCACCAGGAGACCCTCCCCAGCACCTAGCCGCGGTGTGCCCTCCATGGCCACAGTTGGTGCAGGGGACAGCCCCCCTCGGGCACCTTCTTCTCCTTCCTCTAGCGCCAGCACCTCCGAGCTCCATAGGGCTCGGCTCGGAGGTGCTGGAGGGTGGAATGGGCGACCCCCACCTGGGACGCCCGCGGGTAGCGAGCAGGGTGTCCAGCCGAATGGCCATGTCAACCAATTGGTCAAATGAAAGCGTGGTATCCCTGCACGCCAACTCTCTGCGGACGTCCTCCCGGAGGCTGCAGCGGAAGTGGTCTTAGAGTGCCCGCTCATTCCACCCCGCATCTGCCGCTAGAGTCCGGAACTCCAGTGCAAACTCCTGAGCGCTCCTCATCCCCTGCCGGAGGTAGAATAGACGCTCCCCCGCCGCCTTCCCTTCCGGTGGATGGTCAAACACTGCACGGAAGCGGCGGGAGAACTCCGCATAGGTGATAGTAGCGGCGTCTATTCTCCTCCATTCGGCGTTGGCCCACTCCAACGCCTTGCCGGTGAGACAGGAGATGAGGGCGGAAACGCTCTCGTGTCCCGAGGGCGCCGGGTGTACGGTGGCGAGGTAGAGTTCAACTTGCAACAGGAACCCCTGACACCTGGCAGCGGTGCCGTCGTATGCCCTCGGGAGCGAGAGCCGAATCCCACTGGGTTCCGGAAGTTGGACAGGCGGGCTGACCGATGGTGATGGTGCGGTAGGTGGAGGTGTGGGTACCCCGCTGGTCTCCAATCGATGGAGGGTGTTCATCACTCGGTCCAGAGCGTGCCCGATTTGGTTGATCCTGTCCTCCTGTCCACGAAGGCGCTCCTCGATGATCTCTGTGGGTGCGGGTGCTCCTTCTGATTCCATAGAGATGGTGTGTAATTCTGTCAGGGTTGAGTGTAGAGGTAACGTGGAATCACACTCAGGACACACAGAGATTCGAAACATATGTCTTTAGTGAAGTCCGAAAATACAAGCCAAACACGGCAACAGGCCACAGGCGAAACATACGCACACTGGTAAGAACCAAAGTAAATGCGCACAACGTGCAGGACTCTCTCAAACATACCGAAATACAGAGAGCACAGAACAGCGAACCAACTACTACACGTGACATCGAACAATTACACACAACACCTGACCAAACACAAGAGAACTAAATAGGACGCATAATGAACACTTAACAATGAACAGGTGTAACAAACAGACAAAACCAATCAAACATAGAAACATAGAACGGTGGCAGCTAGTACTCTGGAGACGACGACCGCCGAAGCCTGCCCGAACAAGGAGAAGGAGCAGCCTCGGCCGAAACCGTGACATTCAGGTACTCTGGTTTAGTCCTGGGATACTGATGATACCACTGTAGATTGTCTACAGAGCCAGTGTAGCTGCAGGATAGTGTGGTGGTATCACCCTCCACACCATCTACCATAGACCTAGTGAGATTAATGACATCTTCAAAACTACCACCTGTCAGTAAAGGAAAAAACTGTTGCTATTTTTGACAGCGTTTTTTACAACTATCAAATATATTCTGAAGTTGGAATTAAAACTGTCAAATTGAATACAGCACTCACCAACATGGACTGAGAGGAGGAGAATTGATGAAAGCAGCAACATAGCTGATACACACAGTATCAAAAACACTCTGACACAACACAGGCAGAGTTGAATATCTCTCTCTGCAGCAATCTTTCGGTCTTGCTGATTTTAGAAAACACAGGGGGTGGTGAACAACCAACTTTGTTTCTGTTTGTGCCATGAAATCCTTGTTAAATGTACATCGTAGGATTGATTCATTCATTTATTTTGAATACCACTCCATTCATGTTATACTGCATTATGAAGAAAAAAGTTTGAAATTAATATATGATCTGGACATGAAGCTAGGGTCAGGGTTATTGTTAGGGTTGATTTGTGTAGGGAATATGAAGCTAGAGTTTGGGCAGTGGCGACCTGCCATCCAGGGCATTTTTTTAGTGGGGGTGCCTGTTTTACATGTTATTTTGGCATTAATATGTGTCACAAACACTGTAAAAAATGTATTGAGTTAATAAAGCCGCATGCAAACATGGTCTCCTTTTTTCTTTCTTGAGTAAGGAAGCTCCAAAATGCAGGTGTTTCAGGCTAGCTCTGTGGTGGAGAGGTAGCCAGCAGACAATTCAGAGTGTAGGGGTTGGTAATCTTCTCTAGTTGCGCCGTGATTGGCTCAGTGTTCTGTCTCTCATTGGGACACTACGTCACCGCAAAATGTACAGGGAGAGCTAAAAAAAAGTTCAAGCACTTTGGGTGCTGCCATAGATTTACATTAGAAGTGCCCATCCAGGAAGGCTCAAGATCATTAGCCACAAATAAAATGACGTCAAATAATGTTATAAATCAAATCAAACCAGATCTTATTTGCCACATGCGCCGAATACGACAGGTGTAGACATTACCGTGAAATGCTTATTTACAGCCCTTAACCAACAATGCATTTTTCCTTAATAAAAAAGTAAAATAAAACAACAACAACAA